GAAAAAGGTGAGAAGCAAATGTAACACGCAATCCCTGACTATAGAGTCCATGGGATCTCAGAGTCGGACACGACTGAACGACTTTCGTGGCTGTCCTGTCGACCCGCCGCCACCCTCAGCTCCTGGCACAAAAGAAGCTGCCGATAATCTAACTGAGGGAAGGAAAATGAGTGAAAGTCGCTCAGTCGTGTCCGAGTCTTTGAGACCTCATGGACTATATAGTCCATGGAATTCTCCAGGCCAGAATACTGGAGTGGGTAGCTATTCCTTTCTCCAGGGGATCTTCCCAACCCGGGGATCAAACCCAGGTCTCCCGCATTGCAGGTGGATTCTTAACCAGCTGAGCCACCAAGGAACCCCGAGGGAAGGAAAGCCTATTCCAACTTCTAACACATGTGACAAATTGTACAAACTCAGACAAAAGGAAGTGGAGTTAGTTAGACATTAGTCTAACCTGTCAGACACAACTGGACTTGAAGACCTTTTCTAAAGCCTGAGCTCAAATCTCCTCACATCCTGGTACCTTAAGGAGTAGGTTTCCCTGGTGACTCAGATGGTGAAGAATCTGCCTGAAATGCAGGAGACCCGGGTTTGATCCCTGGTCTGGAAGATCCCCTGAAGAAGGGAATGGCAACCCACTCCAGTATTCTTGCCTGGAGAATCCCATGGACAGAGCAGCCTGGCAGGCTACAGTCCACGGGGGTCGCAAAAAGCCGGATATGACTGAACAGCTTAGCAGCAGCACCACCAACAGAACCTCAGACTTAGACAACGCTGATGGTGGCCTGGGCGGTTCCTCCCCGTGCAATGCACGTGTTCCCTCCTCAAGGACCCCACACGCTCACACCACTTTACAGAATACTGTCAGTAATGGGTGCTCACCCTCACCCAGAGCAGCCAGGCCAGGGTCCACGGGTCAGGCTGATCTGCTTCTTACGAGCAGCCTTGTGGGTCCTGGTTCCCCCCGGGGACCCCTCAGCCCTCTCTGGTGAAGTTCTCACCACCCAGATGTCACAGCGAATCCCAGGGACTTGCCTGCTCTTCGAACAGAGGCCAGAGGAGAGGCCTCACCAGGCCCCTGACGGCTGCAGAGGAAGTGGCAGAAATCTCTAAACTGTCGTCAAGACAACCTAAGTCCAAATATAAATCTCTTTGGGATTCCATTCAGAAGCAGTTTTTAAGTGTGCACACCCAGAGGAAATAATAAAAGAAAAGAAAGCGCCTCTCCCCATCCCCTGGCCCTACCCCTCCTTCCCCTCCTCTTTCTCTCTCTCTCTCTCCCCCCTCCTGCTTTTTGCCACGTGGTGATGTGTGTTAAAAACGCAAACTGGGACGCTTTCCACTTTTGGGGTTGGAACAGCTGCTGCCTCAATATTGTTTTTGTTAGTTTTTTTTTTTTAAACATACTTTGCTGTTTTTAATGGAGTTGTTTTTTAACTATGTGTTTCATAATACTAACTGAGATTCACAAAGCGGGAAGACTGGCACTTTAATTGGCAAGAGTGAGACTCATGGGTCTTAAGAGTCCAACTCCAACAGTCTGCTGCCCAGCTCAATCCCAAGACAGCCAGGCTTATCCCAGGGAAGGGAACTCACGAAGGCACGGGAGAAATATGACCAAGTCCTCCAATGGAAACAACAAGAGCCAAGAATTTCTAACAGGTAGCCTAAATAAACCCCACGCTCTCAGTCCTTCGTTTTTCCAAGAGCACAAAGCATTCGGGGAATGCTCCACAGATGGCTGTGGTTCCATGTGGGAGCACGCACCAAGAGAAGTGAGCTCAGGGTTCTGAACCCCAGGGCCTAACAGCAGGGTTCTGAAAGGCACAGGTGCATGCCACCTGGCACACCCCGCTGTCACCTGCTGCAAGTGACCCTCAGGTCAGGAATCTTCACCCACGTGAGGACCTTTAGCTCAGAGTGGGGTATGCCTGCACCACCCAAGCTGAGCACAACCATGGCCTTAAATGGGAAACAGGTCCCCCAGCGATCACCGAGTGACAGGGATAATCACTCGGTGATTAAAGGACCAGCCCCTCAGCCTCTCAGGTGAGCCAGGAGGGCGGCAGCTAAATGGTCCTGCTCCCATCACCTGCTCAATTGGGCTGACAGACAGTGATGCTGGCAGCGGGCGTGGCTGCAAGGGCCTGAGATTTCAGGAAGGTGTGGCAGTGGCTGAAAACAGGAAGCTGAGTGTTGACTGCATGCAAGACTTCATCCACAAAAGACAGGCCGCCCATACAAAGAACAGAGGAACCAGGGCTCCGGTTAAAATTCTGAGAGGACCATGAGCTTGACACCGAATCTCTTTTCCTGGGGCTGATCCACAGGATTCTCTCTCATGTGGATCTGCCAAGAGAGCAAACCAGCAGTTAGACTGGCTTTGGCCGCACCCAGTGCGATCTCAGGGCTTCCCTCGTGGCTCAGCGATAAAAGTATCTGCCTGCCATGCAGGAGACTTGGGTTCAATCCCTGGGTAGGGAAGATCCCCTGGAGGAGGAAATGGCAACCCACTCCAGTATTCTTGCCTGCGACATCACATAGACAGAGGAGCATGGCGGGCTACAGTCCATGGGGTCGCAAAAGAGCCAGACGTGACTTAGCGACTAAACCACCATCACCACCAGCACTATCTCACCCAGAGCATCGCCCTGTTGAGGAGCAGCTGAGAACCTAGCTGTCACACACACAGGATGGGACCAGCCAAACTGGGGGACTTAAGACACATTACTCAGTGTGATAACAAGAGCAATGGCCCTTTCGGAGATTTCAAATAAATGGCTTCTGATCTGAACAAGAATAAAACCTAGAGCCTCTCAAAAAGAGAAGACCACAGATACACGGTGATGGGATTGAAACTTCAAAGTCTTCATCTGCTCAGATTTATCTTCCTGAACGGCTGTGGGGCTGTTCTTTTCTTTCAAGCCCAGCCTCCTACCTCTGGGCCTCTGCAAAGGACCAGCACACAAGGAGAGGCATTGTCTCCAGGAAGTCACTGAACAAGTGCATTCCATCCTTAGAGATAAGGCAAAAAGAAGTGCAGGGGCTTCCCCCAGCTTTCTCATCTCCCAGGCTTGCTAATTATCATCCTGGGTAGGAGGAAATGGCGCTGAGTATCTTAGGAGATCGTCTGCTCTAGTCCTCTGCCTTAAACGGGAGGATGTTATCACGTCTATTTAATGGACGCCGTGTTCAAGATACTTTTCCAGAACCGCACAGCCAGTGAGCAGGAGAGCATAAAAACCCAGGCTTGCTGCTTTGGATTAGGGCTCTTCCTACCTGATTGTAGAAGGAAACAGACTTATCTATAAGCAGAAAAATTGAACATAATTAATGTGCTGGGACAAGCATATCATTTCTGACTTTCTTTATTCCCAAGGCCAATCCCGACACACACAACACACATCAAAGCTGCCTCTTGGTTCCTGGGGACCCGACCTTCTGAGTCTTTGAAGCGCTTCGTGGAGGCTGAAATGACTCCTCAGGAGGAAAACACGCAATTCCTGGAATTTGTGTCTGGCTTATGTTAGAGAGCCTGGCAGTTGGTGACACCTACCCCTGCAACTCTGACAAAGGTCAACTGAGGGAGGCCGGGACAGCATCCACCAGATCCAGGCCATGGCCCAACATGGGGGCAGGCACAGAGAAGAGAGGGCCTCTGCCTGATGCCCCTGGATGAATCAGGAGACCAAGGCGAACCGGACAACCTAGTGTAAAAGGGACTTTAGCAAAGGACAGTGAGGGCAGACCTCCCCAGGTTCCAGAATGGCCTCCAGGGAGTCCAGACAGCCCCCTGTTGTTGATGTTCAGTCACTCACTCTTTGTGACCCCAAGGACTGCAGTACCCCAGGCTTCCCTGTCCTTCACCATCTCCTGGAGTTTGCTCAAACTCATATCCATTGAGTCAGTGATGCCATCCAACCAACTCATCCTCTGTTGCTCCCTTCTCCTGCACTCAAGTCTTTCCCAGCATTCAGGGTCCGGGGCAATCCGTCCCTAACCTAGAACCATTCCTTCTTTATCTGCTTCTGCACAGCCCTCTTGACAGACCAGTTAGCACTGCTTTGATATAAACAGAACCGGTCCAACCTTTGCTGCTTTTTTCGGAAACTGTTTTCTTGGGAGACCAGAAGTGCCAAGGGCTGAACACTAGGAGTCCGTGCCAAAGGCTGCTAAAACCAGGGCTGAAAACCAGCTCTTCCCAAGGAAGCAATTCCGGAATGCGGTGTGGGTACCCAAGAGCGAGCGATCCAAAACGCCAGCTGAATTCCCTGAGCACTCCCCGGGGGCAGGTCCCCACCACTGGGGAGTTTGTGTCTGTCTTTGTTTCCGGCTTCTTCCACGTTTCTCTGGGCTCAGAAGGACCCACTTCGGGAGGGGAAGTGGGGACAGGGGAGGACTCTGTGGTCCTGCCCTGATCCGCAGCACGAAAAGTTTTCTACGGTGGTTGTCCCTCTACATTCCCGCCAGGTCGTCCCCTCGCGCATTTTTTCACCCCGAGCTGAGCTTTGTTGTTGTTGTTGTTGTTGTTTTTAAGTAAATAAACTAATTGCCCCCAGGAGGCAAAAGGATTCCGCGCCTTGGCTGAGTAACTTAAAGTTTCCGCCGGAAGGAAATTATCAAAGGCGAAGGAGAAAGCCCACGGAGGCGGGGTCCTGGCCTGGTGTCACCGCGGAGGGGTCCCCGGCCCGGAGCGGCCCGAGAGGACGAGGGCTCCGGGAACGCGGGAGCGGCGAGGGGACGAGCCAGGAAGCGCCCGAGAGAGGCTCGGACCGGACCCGGCGGGGCCGGGACAGGGAGCGGGCCGGCGAAGGGGGGTGCGCGCAGGGGACACGGGGGCGCACGGACGTGGTGGAGGGGGTGCTGGTTGGGGGGCGGGGCGGGGGAAGTTGACGACTAGGGGGCGCGGGGAAGCGGGGACGAGGAGGGCGCAGAGAGGAGGGTGACTAAGAGGACGCTGGGGGTAGGGGGGCACGCGGCCCCAGGGGCGCAGGACTCACCCCAAGAAGACACACTTTGAGCTCTCGGATGGCCATCATGAGCTCGGGGCCGGGCCGGGCAGGGGCTCCGCATCCTCCGGGGCCGACACGCTCCGCGCCCCGCCAGCCGGCTCCTGCGGTCCCCGCCTTCCCTCGCGCCGCCCGCGGGCGGATCCACGGCAGCTGCTATTTCTGGGCCTCTGGCCGCGCCGAGGGTCACGTGGCCGCCGCCGGCTCCTCCCGGGGGTGCGGAGAACTTCGCCCGCCGGCTCCCAGGACCGCCCCTGACGGCGTCAGCCCCCGGGCCCCCGCCCGCGTGCCCCTGGCGTCCTGGCACCGGGCCTCCTCCTTCCGGCCAGCCCGGCCTCGGACCCGGCTCAGCAGAGCTCACCCGACCCCCGGCCCCCGGCTCCCAGGCCACGGGGTGGAGGGAGGACCAGTCCGGCCCGCGGGGGCGGCAGCCCACGACTGGCCACTGCATCCCCCTCGGTAAAGGGGATGTTGTCCACCCGGGATCTGCGGGGAGCACTTTGAGGCCTAAGCGCACTGGACAGAGGCCGTCGGAAGGAAGGAGGGTCTGACCATGCAGCCCGCCTCTCCCGCAGCTCCTCGTGTTGTCGGGAGGGGGCTTCAGTGTACCCCCAGGTCGCTTGCCAGCCTCAGCCCCACGTTCGCTTTTCCATGTCATCGGAAGTGATTCTAGAAGCAAAGGCCTATTCCTTCCCCCAGAGCAGGCTGGTCCGCCTCTGAAAGGGGAAGCGCATTGTAGGCAGGAAGCTGATGTGCAGGGCACAGAAAATGCTGCAACTCGGGGTCAGACCCCCGGCCTCAGACCCCGGCTAGAAACAGGTGGCCTGGCGGACCTTTTGTATCCTTCCAAGGCAGGCTTGGGGGTCTGCAGGCTTGTCTCCACAGTGGCCCGCGCACCTCATCCACTACAGAAATGTCAGCTTTTGGGACATAGGTACTTGAGTTAGGTGTGGCATTTCAGATTGGAAACAACTTTCTTTAAAGTTTATCCCCTAACCAAACTCTCAGGCCTCTGTCCTGACCTTGCAGTTCTCCAGTGAACCACCCTCCCACCTTGATTATCTGGGTTCTGCTCCCAGTGAGGCCACGTTGAAGCTACCCACCACCCAGGTGACCCCATGGCGTGGGAACGTCCAATCACGACCTCCAGAGAGAAGTTCTAAAAAGCTGGAGTCAAAATAGTGCCCTTCTCTCAAAGAGAAGCCCCGACAGTTGGCAGTGAATCCCTCAGTGCAGTAGCTTCCCCTGGCTTGGGCAGGCTTGGAGGAGTACCCACTCACATAAATCAGGACTAAGTTTTTCAAGAAGTAGCCATGGATGAAATACAGGTCTTACTCAGCATGGAGATTATTGTATCGATACCTGTCCTTGGTTTAGTATCTAAAGCAAGGGCAGCATGAGAAGAGGCCTGCCCAGAGTCTCCCAGCACTGGGCACTGGGCCTCCTCTCTTCAGATCCGCTGAGCAGAGGATAAGCGCCACACAGCCACAGAGCAGCCGTGGCCAAGCAGCTCTGGCAAGGCCACCTCACGTCCCCGGCAGAACAACTTGAATCTCCACGTCCTCGTGCTTCCCTTTGGCCTTGCTTCTCACTTCCCCAGAGTCAACCAAACCAGTTCTCACTTCCTGAAAGTTAGCCAAACCAGGGTGGGAGGCTTTTCCATTAACACTGCATTAGGTCCCTAAGGGCAGGACCACCCCAGACAAGTGGGCTGGCAGAATTTCTCATCTGATCCCCTGTTCTCCCTTCATTCCTCCCATTCCTCTCGCTTCTGCGCTGGCCTCGGTGTCTGCCATACTTGTGTGGTTTCTGGGTTCCCCCCCCCCGGCTTTCCCCCTGAGAATCACCTACATGCTTTATTCTCCCCACACTAACCCCATTAAAATCTCCTAACTCATGTCTCATTCTGACCAGGCAAGCACTTCACAAAGTGCCTACACTTTGTGGACCACCATCATGGATTTTTACCCTCTCCTGGGCCAAGTCATCCTTGGGGGCTTAAGAACTGTCCCTGAGGAAACCCTGGTCCCACGGACCACCCCAAAGTGATGCACCAGGCTGTCCCAGGCAGGAGAGATGGTGGCTGCTCCCAGATGCATTTAGGGAGTGTCTGTCCAGGGTAGGTCTCCACTTGTTAAAGGTACAATATTCCCTAGGAATGTTTTTATCATAGTCTAGGATGACTGTTGGTAGGGCCCAGCCTGACTCCTCTGAATCCTCTGCAAATGCGAAGAGGTTCCGATGTAACTTAAACAGAAATAAAAATCCAATGGTATGTAACTGAGGGCTTATCAAATTTTTAAAAGATGGAATAGGCAGAAGTGTCCCGTGAAATCTTTGTGAACCAAAAGGTCATTGGGCTAATTTGAATTTATGCTTTTCTGCTGCTGTGAAGTCCTCGGTGGCACCTACAAGATGCAATTGAACTCTTAAGTACATCTTGCAATAACACTGCGCCAAAACCAGCCTCTTCTCTGCCTGCTGGTAGAACCCATCAACCTCCAGAGACGTGCTCAGGTGCCCCTCCCAGGGAGGTCTCTGCCTGGGCTTGCACGAGCTCTACTCACGGCTCTCTAGCATTGACTCAGCAGCTCACTTGCCCTCCTGTCCCTCATGAGGGTCCTGCCCAGTGTCCTTGGAGCCAGTAGAGCTGAAGCCAGGTTCAGTTCAGCAGCAAAGGAGGGCTTGACTCTTCAATCAAAACATGGAGAGATGGGAGGTCATGCTCCAGAACACCCGCTCTGCTGACAGCAGGGCTGGGCTGCTTTGGGGGGAGGGAGCGGGGTTCTCTCAGGCACCCAGGCACAGCTGCTGCCTTCGCTCCAGATGTCAGTGCCCTGTGCAGCATCTTTGCACACAACCCGCCCACCATCGGAAACTCAGAGTTGGGGGTGGAGCTTCTGCACTGAGGCGTCACCACCATTTTGCACCAGGAACCCGGGTCTGAGGTGCCTGGCTCCAGGTTTCTGCACACAGTGCCCTGGGAGCCAGGGGACTAGACTCAGCACAGAAACAAGGTTACGCTTTATTTCATCATCCAGATTCTATTTTTATTTCCCAGTTATTGTTAATGGACTTTGCTGGTGACAAACATAATTAGCCACTAAAGCCCTTTTACAACTGGTCAGGGTCTAAACTTATAATGGAATTATCTATCTGCATGAGAGGTGCCTATAGATGAAGCTGGGGTCACCTCTGTGTCACCAGGATGTGAAAACGACTAGACTGGGGGCGGATGGAGGGGGAGAATGGTGCTGTGCCTCAGAAAAGAAAGGTGATTAGAAATTAATCTTTTCACCTCAGTCAATGTAGGACTTTTTCCTGCAGGGTCTCTGGACTCTCATGTAATTCAAATGAGATTCCTGTTTGGTGGGTCTGGAGATCTGGGAGACCCCAGGACCGATGTGTCCACATAACAGGAAGGCTGACCTGAATACTCACCCTGGACCTCACCACAGAAGGTTCTGGGTGGGGATTTCTTCTAAAAGAAATGAGCAATTCACCAACAAATATGATTTAGTAAAAGTCTACCAAGGGACAGGAAAAATTGCCCCATTCTTTTTTTTAAATCTGGTTAGTAACAGTCATAAAACTGACCATGTTCCTTAATCCAGCAAATCCTCTTTCAGACAACAACATAGAAAAACACACAGAAAAGTGAGCAAATAGAAGCCTGACTGTGCACAAACAGACATGCACACAAAGAAACAGATACTTTCGAAAAACAAAAAGCCATCTCTGCTGAGATGGAAGAGGACAGCTGCATACATCATGATATTAAAGGGGTGAAACAACTGAAATCTCTTCACATTTGGGAATGATTAAGCAAACGGATATCTTTACTCAGTTGTCTTCAACAACGTGCAATGGTATATGTCACTTAGGTAATATATAAAATGTATACGTGAGGTAGATTTAGAAAGACATTTACAGTAAATAAGTTTCCATGAGTATAAGATGATGCAAGAATCGGCTCTGCATGTTAAACAGTTAAGTCACACCAGTGTGTTACAACTCCCACTAAGGAACGTGACTGCTGGATTGTGCGGTACTGCTACTGCATACCCGTCAGCATAGCCAAAATCGGGGACAGTGACGACGCTGAATGCTGACAAGGGTGTGGAGCAACTAGAATGTCATTGCATCGCTGAATGCATGATGGTGCAGCCACTTTGGAAGGCATTTTGACAGTTTCTTATAAAGTTAAACATACTCTTAGCATTCAATTCACAGTCATGCTTGTTGGTATTTACCCAAAGGAGTTGAAAACATATCCACACAAAAAAATCTGTACACAGTTATTTATAGCAGCTTTGTTCGTAATTGCCAAAACTTGTAAGCAACCAAGATGTCCTTCAGTAGGCAAATGGATAAAATAAACTGTGATCCATCCAGGCAATGGAATATTATTCCAAACTAAAATGGGATGAGCTATCAAACCATGAAAGACATGGAGCTAATTTCAGTGCATATTACTAAGTGAAAGAAGCCAATCTGAAAAGACTGTATATTTGTATGATTATGACATTCAAGGAAAGGCAAAGCTATGAAGACAGTACAAGGTCACTGGGGGTTGAGGGGAAGGGATGAACAGGCAGAGCACAGAGGAGTTTTAGGACAGTGAAAATACTCTGCATGAAACTATAATGATGGATACATGTCATACATTTATCCAAACCCATAGAATGAACAACACAAAGAGTAAAATGTAAATGACAGACTTTGAATGATTATCATGTGTCAATGTAGTCTATCAGTTGTAACAAGCGTACTCTCTGCTGAGGAATGTCTATAAGGGTGAAGCTGTGCATGTGTCAGTGTAGAGGGCATATGGGAAATCTCTGTATTTTCCTCTCAATTCTGCTATGAACCAAAAACTGCTCTTAAAAAAAAAAGTCTTTTAAAAAAATGAACAGGCATGATCAGGCAATTCACAACTGGGAAATGAATATATGAAGAAAGTAGTCAACTTTGGAAGTGAGGAAAAATACAGATTAAAGCATCAAGAAATCATTTTCCACTTATTAAAC